TAAATTGATACCATCTTGTTTAACCCTTTCGGTGCGGCGGAACGAAGCGCCGCAGCGCTGCCACTGAACGAGACCCCGCCCGCCAAAAGTCTACACATTGAGCGCGGAGTACAGAATACATTTAATCGCCTATTTCTTCGAGATGCTTTTTCTATATTTAATTCGTTTTCACTGCAGATATCCGAATCAGTTTCTGTTAGCGAATACACTCAAATGTTAGAATGTACCGCTCTGGCTGGATCTGCCTAACACAGGACATGGAATGCAGTGAAGAATCATTGTCAGGAAAATAGTTAGGAAAATTGATTGCAGTTAAGGCAATAGTTTATTTAGTCATTGAGACGAGAGTGACAATCTGGCCCTTGCAGTTCAAGGCGTGAGGAGGTGTCCACCGGCTTGTCAAACAAACGTGTTCAGAAATCGCTCGAACGGTCTTTCTGGGCGCCCGCCAGTGCCGAATTCTTCGCAGCGTTTGACGATCGGAATGGTCTTCTTCTTCTTATTGTCCGCCACGCGCAACCACCATTGTAGGACGCAACACGAATTTAATTCGACGATCACGACGTTCAAAATGAGAAATATAATTTAGTTGATGACCGGAAGATCGCTTGCGAGGTAGTTGCGAGGACGCGGATGATACATCGCAACGCGATGATTCGAGATTCTGTGTCTTGATTTCTCGCACGGAGACTAGTTGAGACCGTAGCGAACCGAGAAAAGCAAATTGTTAGAATCGACTAAATTGCTCTAACTTCTTTGTGCTCACTTCTGATCTGTCGCGCCAAAGGCACCAAATTTTATAAGGTTATTGATGTCAAACGGAAAGAGCTTATTGGTTATCCTTCAATCGGATGAAGCATTAGATGATGTCTAAATATGGTAATGTTTTTGATCTAAACCGACGAGTTTTTAACCTTATTATTTAGACTTTTATTACTAGGCTTTTCTTCTAATAGACACAATACGTGCCGAATGTTGATCCGCTTTTGTATAGCGGGTCTCCTTTTGTCATCGATTGTCAATCCTCATATTATTGTGTCGAAAAAGCAACTTGATTCTCGCATCATACTCGCTTCACATGTTATAAGCATGATAAATTTAACTCTCTTTGTTTAGCTAATAGAAATTAGAATTTTTAACAGTTTCTCACTCATCTCATATGTTCTACAGTTGCAGCATTTTCAGCTTTTTTGAAATAATTTTGTTATAGGTAGAACCTGAAACCTTTATTGAAACGAAAAACAAATTATGACATATTCAAGAAATAAGGGTATTTTTTGATAGTAGGCGGCCGTATTAGTATGAAAACATTTCGAACTTTTTTTTTCCTAAAACTTGTAATATTCTCATTAACTGACTATTGCTTTATGATACGCAAAACTAATTAAAAAAAAACAAAAAACGAACAAATATGATTCGAATCATGTGGTTTATTGTAATAAAATAATTTGCGAAATGTTCATAAAACACGCTACTATCCACAAATTAGTTCGCGAATGCCGCCAGCTATAACTGGCGCTCGTATTTGCGAGTTATACCATAGATGTCGGTAATAGCCGGCGTTCGTCTCCGCGGATTATTTCGTGGATACCAGCTATAGCCGACGTTAGGAGCATAACACTTTAACGGCCGCACGTCTACGCAGTCAAATGTCGCCAGAGGCCGGCAATATTTTCTTTGGCGGTAGCATCACACACATGTTGTGTGAGCGGGCAGTAACAGTTGTTCCGGCTATCACACACATGTTGTGTGAGCGGCCGTTAACCATTTGCGCTGGCAAGAAATTCACAGGCGCCTGTGCCAGGACGGTCCAGTGTAACTCGCTGAGAGGGGTCACACAGTGTTCGATGCCTTAGAGAAATCGGAAAAAGATTTATATTTTCTAAACTAATTTATTTTCGACCTATGACTTTTAATAGTTTTTTAAAGAGAATATAGAGCGTCGATTGATTATAAAATTATACAAATATAAATATTAAATTTATTTATTAATAATCATGCAAAGTATAGTATCTCTTGAAACAGTGTGGAACATGTAACGGTACAAAGCATTTCTTACATTCCCATATAGTTTCACTTGGTTTTTTGTGTTTGGTACACACTTTACACCTTCGCTGTGGATTCTTTTTGGCATTTGTGGGTGGAATATTTCTCGGGAAATGTCCCCCTCGCTTTGCCTCTAAACGATCGGATGTGCTCCCAACAGACATCGTTCCGCGTTTTTTATAATCGGGAATACATACAGCTTGTAATAGTTGCTCTGCTACATCTAATCGAAACTTTGAAAAGGAAAATTTCTTGCTTTTTGCTACATCCATTTTCTTACAGAATAAAACATAAGAATTAAAAAGCGCAACATCCGCTAAGTAAAAAAATATTTTTTTATAACTTTTTACATATTTTCTCATAAGAGAAAAAGAAGATAAGTAACTATCTTATAAATTCACCTCACCCATGCCATCGTACTCCAAAACGATATTGGGTTTTGTTACAGTGTTGTTGTTATTTTTCCACCTCTTCTTTTCTACTTCTATTATCTCTATTTTCGAATGCTTCGTGGACATTACATATATATCTTTTTTGTCTTTCCATTTGGCAACTAAGATACCATTAGACGGTCTTGAAATCACATCAGATCGTTTCAGTTTTGCGCTGCTAGTTTTTAGGGCATATTCTTCCTATTACACCTCACTGTTCCTATGGCATTAGTTTTTATAGATTGTAACTTTGCAAATAGACTTGGTGATGAATACCAATTGTTGAGAAACAGAGTGTGTCCGTAACCAGATATTGGCGTGCACATAAACATTGTGACACTTTCTGATGCACTTGTGTCTGCATTTTTATTTTTATCTTCACATGTGTATATCTTAAATTGAATACAATATCCCGACTTTGATTCGCACAGTTTATAAAATTTCACTCCAAAGCGGGCTCTTTTCAATGGATTATACTGTTTATATGCCATACGGCCTGTATATTTCATTAGCGATTCATCTAATGATACATTTTCCTCGGGAGTGTAAATAGTCTTATATTTTTCATTGAAATAATGGATTATACTTCGCAATTTCCATAAACGATCATTATTATTGTCTTCAACTTCGTTGTTAGTAAAGTGTAAAAAGCGAGATAATTGGGCAAATCTCCAAAATGGCATGGTTTTTCGAAATATCGGAGTTTCGATTATGCTTCTTTTTGACCAATAAGATTGAATATTGTTTTTCTTCACTTGCGACATCAAAATGCATAAAGCAAAATATGCTTTTATTTTACAAACATTCGTATCTCTCCAATTGTCTTCATATTTTTTTAATTTGTGAGNTGCTTTTATTTCACAAACATTCGTATCTCTCCAATTGTCTTCATATTTTTTTAATTTGTGAGTTTCATTTTGGAGTATCTGGCTCTCGTAACGATTCGTTTCAGTTACAATAATTTGCCAAAAGTCTTCCCTTAGTATTTCGTTTGCCATTTGTAAAATTGTGACACTTTGCCCAAATGGTATATATATTTTCGAAATTCGTGAATATTTCCAGATTTTAGTTATATTTTCGGTATCTTTCCATATCCATTCATTAGATATAAGATTAATTTCACAATCTTCATTTATGCATTCTTCCTCGTCATCAGATAAAATTATACGCAGATTTCGAAGTGGAAAAACAATTTCATTAAAGTCACTATCACTATCACCACAATCGTGTTTTCTTTTTCTATTTGTCGAAATAATATCTTTAACTTCACTTTTGCTTTCCATTTTAGAATATGGGTTAAATATTGACAACTGTACGCTATGCAGTGCAATGATAATCTGTGCTCTGGCAAAGAATCCCACCCGACGTGCCACGTACGTCGTTTTTATTTCTGTGACAATCGCGTGACGACGTGCATACCACGTCGTTGGCGATTCTGTGACAAAGCATCACGACGTGCGTGGCACGTCTTTCCAGCGCAAGTGGTTAAAGTGTTAAAGGTTAAACAATATCACCACGTACGCATTGTCACGTAAAAGATGCTTAAGTATTTTCGCGTATGTTTGATAAAGGTCGAGTTTCGCCTGATTGAAAAGTATACTTTTATTGTATCTTGCTTGTCGCATGCTACGTTATTAAATATAAAGACAGAATTCGGGCCCGCCTCATTTGGCGAAATAACGTCGAAATTATTAAAGAATTTCTTCTATTAATGTTAATCAATTTTCCAAATACTGATATTTCGGCTGCATCAACGATTTTGAATATACGTACACATTTTTATAACGTAAACCGTTCGCTTATTTTAACAAGCTTATGGGAACGTTTGTTTTATCACAATTCGAGGAGCTGCATGTGATACCGCGCATTGGACTCAGTAGCGGATCTCCATGTTTACGGGCCTCTTTGTTTTCCCCTATTAACCATGTTCTGTCGTTAAAATTTGTCATGTGTATCGTTATTGGTTGTTGCATCAACCACATTGTACAGGTTGCGCTAAGTAAATTAGGACTAGTTACATTACTGTAAAAGTCATTTATTAAATAATAAAGGAAACTTTTAAAAAATTGTTTGTATATTTTGTTTATGAGACACTTTCTGTAAACTTTCTCTCTATATAGCCGCCTCCTGCATAGATCACAGCTTCAATCTTCGGCCTGAAGCGAGAACAGGCTCTCTGCATTTGATCTGGTTCTGCGTCTGCGAATACCTATTGAATTGCGATCCGTAGAGATGACACATTAGGGTGCCTCGACTTATTACTGACCCTCTCAGCAACGCTCCAAACGTAGTAGTCCCATGGATTAAGGTCTGGACTATTTGGGGGCCAAAACGCGTTTGACCAAACATATCAACGTTGTCAGAAAAACAGTTTTGAACCAGGTGGCTCGTGTGAGCAGGTGCGCCAACTTGTTTAAATATGTACAGCCTTTCTGAGGCTATATTCTCCACTCAGGGCTTTGCTACCGTCGATAAAACCTGCACGTACACTACTTTTGTGACCATTTTGCTCTTCTCAAAGAAATGGCGTGGCATGACGTCACCATCACTAGAGACGACGCCGAGCACGTGGACGCTCGCTGGAAACCTTGTCTTGGCTACAACAGAGACATCCTCGGGGTCTTGGGCAAGTCAACGGTCGTTCCTACGATTTACCTTGGCATCCAAAATGGAGATCTTTTTGTCTGGAAAAAAACTGAGGCGTCCAGACGCTTCGCTCTTGAACGAGCACAACAAGCGGCAGCGGGCAACTCTGTTGATCTTGGCATCTTCCGAAAGCATTTGTTGCACTTTAATGAGGTAAGATGTACGTTTCAGGTCTTCCTCAACAATTCCTTGCATGGTGGTGTTGCTCACACTCAAGATAGAAGCCAATTTTTGTACAATATACCAGGATCCTTTAAAATCAAATCCTGAGCTTTTTCCAATATCTCAGGGGTCCTTGATATCATTTCACGTGAATGTTTCTTCCTTACCGGATCACGGGAACGATCCTCGGATTGCTTAGAAGCCGAAAACTTCTGAGCTACTTGGTAAACTGTCGATTTTGGGTAACCGAAGAATTTTATAATCTCAGATTGCGTAGCCCAGCGCGAAGACCTTTGTTATAACCGTGCATTACTTCAGTCACTATAGCTGTCGAAACGTCACTAAGAACGCTTCGACAGCACTACAAAAATAAGGCACCCTGTTACAAGAGAGTGCCGCGTTGCACATTCCACTATACGGGTCAGAACAACACGTATCCACCCGATTGTTGCTAAAAATACATCCCCTCACGAATGTAATTGATCACTATATAAGATCAACGCTGATCCTAAGCGTGGGCTCGTCCGCACTTGCTATTATCGCACCTCGCGCTGTCGTGTTTCTCGGGTAACCGCTATCTCGCGTCATCGTAACCGTACGCAACGCAGGTTAGGGACAAGGTTTCCACCGGTATAAGAAATAAACATTATGATCTTTTTAATAAATCTATTTATTTTCCAAACGTTTCGTCATTTCCACACTTTACGACCCAATCATTCCGAACACCCAAAATATTCGTCACGCCTTTGCACCTCCCGGGTGTGACACTTTCGACAATCGCAATTCTTCGGTTAAGCTCCGAACTTGTGTTGACTCGGCCATTTTACTTCACAACTGCTTTACAGTTGCGTGTGCACTACTATATAATTCCAGCAAACATTTACCCAGGAAGTAAAAGTTAGCGAGAAAATCAAATTTAAATTAGTCCCGATTTAACTGGCCCACCTTGTAAATCCGACCGTGCAACCTCCACGCGGTACACTTTGGGTAATGTTAATCCCCGCGAAATTGCAACTTTCAAACTCCATAACTCGGGATAGAGTTTTCTTATGGAGAAAAGGTGTGTAACCATTGTTTCGGAAAGGTCTTAACATCAGCTATAAGAATATGTAACAAAAAATGAGGGGTTCCATGTAAGATGGAATAATTCTATATTGATCGTAATAATGCTTTTCAAGGTCATTCTATAGCCAAAATATTATCAACGTCTGATAGCTTTTCCTAATCCCTACAGTTTTTGTTCAAAACTTTTTATTTAATCATTACTTTTTAAAATAATTAACCAGAGCTTTCGGATTAAAATAATAAGTTCCAGAACTTTTAGCAAACTCTGCATATATATATATATATATATATATATATATATTGTTACGTCCTAAATGGTCAGGGACGCGCGCGACGGGAGCGGCTCCGCCACGCTTAGCAGCTACTTAGCCGAGGGGAAAGGTGGGAAGTTTTACGCATGGTTCTGGCATAGAATCGCGGAATGAATAGGGTCATTAAGGAAAGAAACAGGAACAAAATAAATTGGGACAGAAATAATATAATTTACTATTATCCTCGCGAAATTTAGACAATTTTAAGTCGAGATAGCAACAGATTTTCTTTTATGACACGAAAAGATAGAGTATGATTAACCGCGTCGAATAGTATCGCTTTATGAGTGCTGGTTCGCGTTATTACTATTACTTTATAAAGATGGATTTGCGTTCGATTTCGGTCGGTACTATAGAGTAGATAGAGTGAGATACCTTGTCCTTGAAAAAAGATGGAGACTGGCTGCAGGGCTGAGATTCGCGCGTTGTCTGGCACTAGCGGAAGCGTCACACAACTTTTTCTGAGGTGCGGCTTCTTGAGATAGAGTTAATACCGAAAGGATTTCACTAAGAACTCGCGACTGACTCGTGTGACAAAGAAATCAGCAAATTCACTGCCCGAACTGAAGCTAAGTGACTGAGAAAAAAATGCGCTCTACTGCTCTCTTGAAGAATCACTACTTTCATTGAATTCTGAAGAATAATGCTTTCGCTACTACTTAATAAATGCTCGTAGAATAATTAACTGACAAAATGAATGAGCGTTTTGCTCGTAGAATTATTACTGCTGAAGAGTTGATATTGCTGCTCCTAAAGACGAGGCCCTTATTTATAGGCTCGTCCTGGACTCCCTCTTCTTCCTACAACTGCGTGGCTTGTATTTTCGGTGGGAACGCCACCAGACTTGGTGTTCCACGGTGTTCTCGAGTTTACTAAGATAAGGTGAGACGGATCATGCACGTCCGTTCTCACGGAGTCGGGAAATTTAGTTCGTCTAGTTACATATGACATCTGAAAATCGCGGACTTATCAGAATGGAGAAGGGGGGGGGGAGAAGGAGAGAAGAGAAAATAAGGAAAGGGAAAGAAGGTAATTAGTTCGTTTCTTCTCCTTGCCCTTTCCTTTCCTGTAATTTTAAGATAGACTAAGCGCGGGTTTTCGTGCAGAGGAAAAAAAACGGGGTGGGCTTAGCGGATGCGCGGTCGGTAAGTATAGCGGGTTCGGGGAGGCGCGTATGTTGCGGGGGTCCGGCGCAGTCAGTGGTTTCGGCGCGTAGCGGCGCTCCTGTGCCCGTACTGGCTATGGGTACAGGACTAAGCAATGGCAGGAGCGGTCTCGGTGCTTGTCACCGGATGGCTACCGAGGCGGACAAGGAAGGAAAAAAGGTATAACGTAAGGAAGGGGGACGAAGAGTTGAGGAAAGGAAAGGAGCAAAAAAAAGAAAAGAGGAAAAAAAATTTAGCAACAGGAAAGGAGGGAGTCCCGGGAGTACTTCGGGACGTAACAATATATATACATATATATACATATTATATATAAGTACACACATACACACACTAACGCATGCGTACATATATATAAATATATTCATGAATGAGTTTAGAGTCACAAAATGACCATTTGCAAGCTCTCAGCTGATTGATATACTCATACACATACACGCGCGCGCGCACAATAAAACATAAATTCGAAGCTTATAAGAAATTGTCCCTATTTTCGAGTTGATTTATTTTGACAGTTATGCTGATTTGTACTAGATTTGTGCTATATTGTTTTCGCCCGTGAGTGGTTTCTAGTTCCCTATAGGGCGCCTCCCCAAATGTCGGATCGGGAAAAGCTCGCCGGTGCCTCGTTATCTAAAAACGGAGGGTACCTGGAAAATAAAATTCCCCGGGTGGACCAAAACTAGCAAACTGGCTTAAGCGGTAGAAGAACAATAGAAGTAACAAATTTGGCAGAAACTATCCGAGGTGGTATTCGGAACATTAATTCGAGAAATCCACCCTCTACGGAGGCCGGCCCCATGGATTTTGCAAGGAATAAGTTGAAGTTAAATTTGCAGAAACACCCTGATAAATGAGACAATGGAACTCATCATCATACGACGCAAGAAATTTTAAGACGTAGATTGAGTTCCGTAAGTAAAGCTATGTTACCATCTACGAGGTCTGTTCAAAAAGTATCGCGAATTTTGAATTTCCGCGGGTTACGTATATTTGATTTTCGATTTTTTTGTGGCGTTATGTTGGTAATCATGTCCCTCACTTATGCCGACAAGTTCGGCCATTTTGAATATTCAGTTTATCTTTGATAGCTGTTTTGCTTGGACGTGTTTTGGCTCGTCTTCGATTTTTGCCTATTCCAAAAAATGGATCAAAGAATCTGTATCAAATTTTGTGTGAAAAACAAAATTAAGTTCGCGGACGCATTCCGAATGTTGACTGTGGCATATGGTGAAGCTACCTTGGACCGAGGCAACGTTTATCGGTGGTACAAAATGTTCTCAGATGGCCGAGAAGATGTGAACGACGAAGAACGTGCCGGACGCCCGAGCACGTCAACAACAGACGAAAACATTGATGAAGTAAAGAAAATAGTATTGGCCAATTGTCGAATCACCGTTAGAGAAGTTGCTGAGGATTTAAACGTATCGATTGGCTCGTGCTATTCGATTTTTACTAATGATTTGGGCATGAGACGGGTCGCCGCGAAATTCGTACCAACGCCCCTATTCACACATCGTTGCTTGTGCGCGAATTTTTGGCTAAAAACAACACACTAATGATGCCGCACACACCGTATTCCCCAGACCTGACCCCCTGTGAATTTTTCTTTTTCCCGAAACTGAAGAGGCACACGACGCTACGCTACGATTGAGGAGGTAAAGACGGCATCGAAAGAGGAGCTGAACAAGATCACAAAAAATGATTTTTTGAAGTGCTTCGAGGATTGAAAAAAACGTTGGCACAAGTGTATAATATCTGATGGGGATTACTTTGAAGGAGACAAAATAGATATTCATGAATAATAAATAATTTTTGAAAAAACACAAAATTCGCGATACTTTTTGAACAGACCTCGTATATCCTGTTTATCAAACGCTGAAATAGCAAGCTTAGATATCCGGAACTCAGCATGTGAGCAGAAAATGAAAAATAAATCCGTTGAAGAAAAATGGAAAATTACTCGCAGCAAAAAGAGAAATTGTTATAGCCTTGAAACAGTAAACGGAATAGCAAAACAAAGCAAATCGTTAAAAAACTAGCCTGGCTTTCCAGTACCAACGACAAATAGATTTAGTAACATTGATCAAGATGTAGATAATGACAACAAGAAAGGGCAGAAACGATGACTTCTAAACCTTCCATTTTTATTGCGGAAGTAGCAAATATACAACTTCTAATCAATCTATTAAATAAGATAGCTAAAACTGAATTTGAAATTAAGGTTCTAAATAACGAACGAGTTAAGGTGTAACCAAAAGATTCATACACATATACCAGAATAACTAAACAACTAAAAGCAAGCAATATAGAATTTCACACCTACCAACCAAAGCAGGAGAGAAGCTTTAGAGTCATCCTCAAGAACGTCCACTATTCCATTAACATGGACGATATTAAACAGGCAATAAATAACACTGAACATGAGATAAGGAACATCTGGAACCTAAAACGAAGCATAACAAAGAAGCCATTATTTCTTTTCATTGTCGAACTAAAATAAGGTCATAATAACAAGGAGATATATAACGTCAAATCCCTCCATAACTATCGAGTTCAATTTGAAGCCCATAACCAAAAAAGGTAATCCCACAATGTGTCAAATGTCAAAGATACGGTCATACGAGAAACTATTTTTATCGAAAACCAAGATGTGTCAAATGAGCGAGAGATCACTCAACGGCGGCTTGTTCAAGGAAAGATAGATTTAGCAATCTTAAATGCGTTTTGTGTGAAGACATTCACCCAACGAATTATAAAGGTCGCATGATCTACAAAAACCTCTTAAGGAATAAATACCTCACACTAAGAGAAAAAGAAATAACCACTCTAAAACATAATAATCAAACGAGACCCGAAATTCGCACAGAATCAAATGTACCAAGAAATAATTTTACTTACGTCCAAGCCACTCAAGACAGCTCAAGAAAAGAAAACTAAGAAATATTATTATGTACGAATACAAATTCAATCCAAACATCGTATATACAAGCACTCGAAATCGGCCAAAGAAAAGAAACGATAAAAGAATTAGTAAGCCAATTTAGCACTATGCTAAATACATTAGTAACGCTAATATCAAAACTTATATAATGGACAACTTACTTAAAATCGCAATCTAGAATGCTAATGGACTTCCAAATAATATACAGGAACTAAAACACTTTATCTATGAACATGAGAAAGATATAATTCTAATCTCAGAGACTCATTGCACTGTCAAAAGCCATATCTGTATTCTGAGGTATACCATCTGTAGAACATTGCACCTTTATGTTTCGGCGCAAGGTATAGCCATTATTATTCGCGATAACATAAAACATTACGGGGCGAATCAGTACAGTACAGACTATCTCCAGGCAACCAATGTGGTGGTGGAAGAATGGGACGGTCCGACTAACACCTCAGTAATGTACAGTCCACCCAAACATACAATCAAAGTTACGATATGAAGACTTTCTTGTTACGCTAAGACACAAGTGAACTTCTTTATTGATAGCTCGATATCTTGTTTAATCTCTATTATTTTATGTATTTCCACTTCTTCTTCATCACTGGTTCCTCTTGGATTGTAAAAGAGTGCTTCGCGAAGATAATTTGCAAAAACATTTGCTTTTTCCATTGGACTTCTTGCCTATTCTCCACTCTCTTTACTGAGAGAGAGATGAGAGAAGATGGGAGATGAGAGAGGATAAGCATTGTGGTTGCTTGAACTTTTTGGTTGGCAATTTTAAAGTCAAACGTGCGTTATGGGGATTTATAACACTAAATACCTGCTTAAAGACGGTGAATGATGTAATGTATGCAATAGAACGTTTTAATCGCTGTATCCAGCAAGCAGCATGGAATTACATTTCGCCAAATCATAATGTGAAAACTGCATTTAAATGTTCCGCAATTATCAGAGATAAAGTTGTAGAAAAAAGAAAGCTACGAAAAATATGGCAAATGTCTCGACCTCCGTTGCTAAAGAATAAATTAAACCAATAAGGAGTTCAAAAAATGTTAATGTGGACAAAAATCTGTGCTTTCAGAGCTATCTGAGAAATTTAGATCCTACTGTAGCAACGGACTATTCATAGTGGAAAGCAACCAAAAAGTTCAAGCAACCACAATGCTTATCCTCTCTCATCTCCCATCTTCTCTCATCTCTCTCTCAGTAAAGAGAGTGGAGAATAGGCAAGAAGTCCAATGGAAAAAGCAAATGTTTTTGCAAATTATCTTCGCGAAGCACTCTTTTACAATCCAAGAGGAACCAGTGATGAAGAAGAAGTGGAAATACATAAAATAATAGAGATTAAACAAGATATCGAGCTATCAATAAAGAAGTTCACTATGAATGAGATAGCAACTAACATAAAGAAGGCAAATCCGAAAAATACTCCCGGATGCGATTTGATAACCGGAAAGATCCTGAAAGAATTACCCCCGGAAGGAATAAAGTTCCTCACTTTCCTGTACAATGCTATACTGAGAGCATGCTCAGTTCCTTCCCAGGTGGAAAGTTGCCTACTTATGATATGCAAACCGTGTAAAACTCCGACCGATGTCAAGTCCTATAGGCCCATTAGCTTCTTACCGTTCCCGGCGAAAATCTTTGAAATTCTTCTGTTTCAAAGAACGATGTCAATAATCACGAGCAAAAACCTAATCCCTAACCACCAATTTCGATTTCGGCAAAAACATGCCACAGTTGGACAAATACATAGCATAACGGCGAGAATCCGCAAAGAGCTTGAGGCAGAACGATACTGTTCGACAGTATTTCTCGACATCTCCCAAGTTTTCGATAAAGTGTGGCATGACGGATTATTATACAAAATCAAACAAAACCTTCCAATATAATTATCCGTCATATTAAAGTCTTATTTCCAAAAACGCCACTTAATGGTAAAACAAGACGATGTAATAACTCAGCTGAATGTAATATCGGCAGGGGTCTCTCATGACAATGTGCTGAACACGGTGCTCTACCTATTGTACACAGCCGAACTACCAAATCCCACAGGAATAATGACAGCCACCTACGCGGACGACACGGCTCTGATGCAGCTAATAGTAACTCTGTCTTGATATCTAAAACTTTACAAGAAGGCCTAGATGCAGTTTATCATTGGACTAAAAAATGGGGCATCAAGTTAAATGAATCTAAATAGATGCATGTCACTTTTACTACCTATAAGAACACATGTCCTCCTTTAATCATTAGTGGGCAACCTGTTCCCCAAGCTGATGATGTTAAATATCTAGGTATTCGCATGGATAGAAAACTCACCTGGAAACTGCATATATTCGCAAAACACAAACAACTAGGACTCCAACTTAGAAAGTTGTACTCGTTGATTGGTCGCAGATCGGAACTTCCTCTGAGCAATAAATTATTGTTGTATAAAACCATATTAAAGCCAATCTGAGCATTTGGTATCCAGCTGTGGGGCACTGCTGTAAATTCCAATGTCGAAATCCTACAGAGGTTTCAACCCAAATCTTTTCGAATAATAATCAACACACCTTGGTATATTACTAACAGCCAACAACATAAATACCTTTGTATACCAACCGTCAAGGATAAAATCAGAAATTATTCAATCAAATACAAGGAAATAATCATAGAACGTCCAAATGCTTCTGGTTTAATGAACGAGTACACCACAATCCACAGATTAAAGCGCAAAATTCCGCATGATTTGATAAAGTAATATTAATAACAAATCTACATTAATTTTGTGTAGTGTCAAGGGACATTTAACCTCCACGCCATTCTCTCATTATCACTATACGAGGGCAAGATGAAAAGTTCTCGGCCTGACCCAGAAATGGCATTCCAATCGGCGAAAGTTTACGTTTCCTGCCTGCGCGCACATATCATTAGTTCGTATGAGAGGCTTCAACTTGTTCGCTCAAGTAGTTTGTGTAAACGAGTCTTTGCAGTACACGTCTTGCGCGCGTTTCGTTAAAATGGATAAATTTGAATATCGTGCGGTCATAAAATTCTTCGTTTTGGATGGGTTAACACCTAAGGAAATTCATCCGAAGTTGACAAAAGTTTACGGGAACTCTGCTCCTTCAATCTCAACCGTTAAAAAGTGGGCAGCTGAATTTAAACGTAGTCGCACGTCGCTCGAAGATGACCCACGTGAAGGACGGCCAAAAACTGCAACCACACCGGAAACTATCGAAAAGGTGCTCAATATCGTGTTGGACGATAGGCGAGTAAAGGTGTATGAGATGACTGAGGCCGTGGGCATATCGGAAGAAAGGGTGCGAAGCATTTTGCACGAAGAATTAGGTATGCGAAAGCTCTGCGCAAGATGGGTGCCGCATTTGCTGAATGCTGATCAAAAGCAAATGCGCAAACGACATTCGCAGGAATGTTTGGATCGATACAAGAGGGATTCGACCGATTTTGTGCGGCGATTTGTCACCATGGATGAGACATGGGTCCAGCACTACACGCCAGAAAACAAACAGCAGTCGAAGCAGTGGGTGGAAGCCGGTGGTTCAGCGCCAAACAAAGCGAAGTCGAATGTATCTGCCGGAAAGGTCATGGCCAGTGTGTTTTGGGATGCCAAAGGGATGCCAAAGGGATCCTGTTAATTGATTACCTTGAAAAAGGCAGAACAATTACAGACGAATATTACTCCAACCTTCTTGACCATCTCGATGTCAAAATTCGCGAGAAGAGGCCTGGCTTGAAGAAGAAAAAAATCATCTTTCACCACGACAACGCACCTGCACACAAAAGTGTGTTGACAATGGGAGAACTGCGGGATTTGAGATACGATTTGCTCGACAATCCCCCCTATTCTCCTGATTTGGCACCCTCGTACTTCCTTCTCTTCCCAAACCTGAAGAAATTTGTTTCTGGAAAGCGCTTCGCGTCCAATGAAGAAGTTGAGAGGACCGTAGATGAATATTTTAACAGTCTTCCAGAATCTCACTTCCGGGAAGGAATACCGATGTTGAAGAAACGCTGGACCAAGTGTGTTGAAGTCAAGGGAGATTATGTAGAAAAATAAAATCGCTTTTTAACTGAAAGTCACAGTCTTTCATTGTCAGGCCGAGAACTTTTCACCTTGCCCTCGTAAATGCTTAATGTCCTAATAAAAGACAGATTGTGTTATATTAAGAGGAAATATATAAAAATATTATACTCGAATTATATACTTACAGTCTGTTTGACAAAAGCGTACGGCGGAACTCAAAAACGAATTGGGATAATAAATAAAATACACGCATTATGCATAATTTAGACTGTGATACTTTATTATTAACACTTTGACCTCCCAATGTAAATCGAGTATGTTTTCCCGGGGCCGAAATTCACGCTGAATCGCAGTGTAACGCATTACCAATATACGTGCTATAACACTAGTTTACAAATTTCAGTCAACTTTTTTATTGGAGTAGCTGATAACTTTTCTTAAAATAATTTTTCACGCTGAATTAAAATCCAGAGCCAGAATTTTTCCAAGTCGTCAGGTTTTCGAGATATCGCCAGGTGGCAGTACTGTCGTGTCGCTATGGTGACAACTCATCTTTACAGTAGATTATTCGAAGCAAATTCATTGTGCGCGTGTTTTTCCAGATAATTTCAATAACAAAAAATATCGAATAGAGCATGTAAAACTAATACGATTTTTTTTGCTACGTTTGTGGGTGTATATAGTCGCGAAAAAGAGCTACGCAATCAAAGAGTTGCTCAAATTCTCATATTTGCACTACTTTGGTTTTACTATGGACAATCTGGACTAACCATGAATACCGAGAAAACACAATCTGTTTTTTATAATGCTTGCAGATCAAAGCTATATCGGTGGTCGACGGGCGAAAAAATCTATTTGCCATTCAAAGATTCAGTCATTTGGAGACAGCCGAGTTACCACGTAACGGACTGTTACTTCTGTTTGATTAAAGTAACCGGAATATGTAAACGAACTCGACAAAATGTGAAAAATGCGATTGTTCTGTCGGTCACAATGTCGGTTCCACGCAGACTAAATGATCCATTGCCGGTTTGTCCGGATATGTCCAGCCCAGAGTCTAAAGAAATGACACCTGCAGATAGCAGCGGCAGCAAATTCACGATGAGCGATATGCATTTGATTACATACGCTGAATTGAACGATTTAGTTTGTGATTTACATTTATCGAAGCAAGACTCTGAATTGCTGGCATCACGACTACAACAGTGAAAATATCTGTCAAGCAAAACAAAAGTCACATATTTCAGTAACAGAAATGCCGAATGCAATACATATTTCAACAAAATTAACAGATCTATTTCTGTACTGACATTCAAGGTTTATTTCAAAAGATGAACCAACCATATGACAAAAATGTTTGACGACTATTTATTGACAGTTCTATGTACAGTTTGAAGGCCGCACTCTTGCATAATGGAAAGCAAGAGCCGTCCATTTCAATTGCTCACGCAGTCAACATGAAAAAAACATACGAGGCGATGGGTAAAATATTACATGTGATCAAATACAACGACCATAAATGAAACATATGCGGCGATCTGAAAGTGTTTGATCAAATTCAACCTAGAAATGCAGGAATATATTTCTGCTATTCTAGGTTGAATTTGATCAAATACTTTCAGTCTGCATTTCATGACTCATTACATCATTACAGGTGACCGGCATGTTAACTGGTATGCAGAGCGGCTTTACAAGACACTTTTGCTTCTTGTGCCTATGGGACAATCGTGCAACAATATACCATTACACCAGAACATCTTGTCCAGAGAAACAGCAATTTTCACCTGGTAAAAAAAAGCGTTTCAAATAAACAACTCATAGACCCACAAGACGTGTTTCTCCCGCCTCTGCACATTAAACTTGGTTTAATGAATAACTATGTCATAGCGTTCGACCGGAACGGACCTGCTTTTCAGTATTTGGCGACAGTTTCCAAAAATGTCTTCTGCCAAAATCAAAGAGGAAATCTTTATGGGTCCACAAATAAGAGAATTAATTAACGATCAGCACTTTTCGCAAAATTTGTTAGCCGCAGAAGGCAGCAAGGGCGTACTTCAAAAGAGTTGTCCGTAAATTTTTTGACAATCGGAAAAACGACTACTACAGGCAAATAGTTGCGGATCTGCTGGAAAATTATCGTCAAATTGGTGCTCGCATGTTGCTCAAGCTCCATTTTCTACATTCCCACATGGAGTTTTTCCTGGAAAACGGACGTAGTAAGCGATAAGCAAGGCGAGCGATTGCATCAGAATATGCGAAGAATTGAGCGTCATTACCAAGGTTTCTTAGATAAAGGTATGCTCAGCAATTACCACTGGTCCTTATTGCGTGATACACACCTAAAATAACACAATAGACAAAGTTAAGCAGCCGTTCACTTTTTAATTTTTGGATAAATTAAGCCTTTGAGGCAAAAACGGCAAAAAATGGGTCTTTCAAATATCTCGAAAACCTGACGACCTACAACTAAAAACGGACTGCGGATTTTGAATCAGCGTCGAAAATTACCTTAGAAACACATTTCAGCTCCTCCAGAACAAAACCATACCACTGTATACCAATATAATTAATCTCTTTGTTCTTCCAGTGAAACGTGAATTGTTTTAGAAGCAATTTCTTTTCTTATTTTTAATTTTTATGCAGTTTCTTTTCATTTTAGAATATGTCATACAATATGTCATACAATAAATTTGTCATAAAATAAATTCGGGTAACGGAATAGCCCATGATGCAATAATGTATACATCGTGGTTTGTCAGCTCGAAAGGTATAATATGACCCAATGAATAGAATTCCTAGAGATAAGGAATTACTTCGAATATTTTTTCGCTTGCTTTTGTTCGATTCAATTCGACAGTTCCATACTGCATCTCAAAGTCTTTGCATCTTAGAATATTTCTATAATTTACATACATATATTTAAATATTATATATATATTACGTACAATATTTATATATTACATACATTTCTGTAATTTTTGTGCCCTCACAATGTCTGCTAGACAATATAAAAATGTACGTGAAAGTTATAATAATGATAGTGATGAAGTGATCCCTCTGAAATGATAGTGTCTAAATATAATTGCATCAAATTCAAGTTCGGAGAGTGAGGAGCACGAAGATGGAAAGCTTAAGGAAGCCTTAAGGAAATTAGGAAGAAGAAGAGTTAAATAATGATGATGGTGGTGTACTCAATACCACCCAGTGGACCAAATTTACTAGCAAGAAAAAGTCATTTATATTTACGGGAAAAAGTGGGATTCTGATTGAATTACTTTTAGATAATAGACTAGGTGAAGCTCTTTCGTTATATTTAAATGAACCAATACTAGATCTTCTGATTATGGAGACAGATATTTGGAACAAAAATTGTTGCAACATCCGAATACACAGCCTGAACGGCTGAACACAGCCGAATGAAAAGTTTCTCCTAAAGCAATGAGAAAATTTATTGAATTTATAATTTGGATAGGTTTAGTAAGACAATCAAAAATTAAATATTGGTCAGAAAACTCCTTGTACAACTAATTGCGGCGTAGCGTAACGTCTCGCTATTGTTAGCAAATTTGCATTTTGCAAATAATGAAAAAATAGAGAGTGGTAATAGACTCGGTACAATATTGCCACTGGTAAACATGTTAAGTGAAAATTATCAAAAGATTTTTTCACCAGGCCCAGATATTGTAATCGATGAGACAATAATCTCTTAGAGGATAAGGCTGATATTTCGACATTATTGTTACACTCGCACGGGGAAATAAAACGACACAACGTTAAATGGGAAACAACTTCAACTATATATTTGCTATTTACAAGAAAGCACGCAGACTCAAGATCTCTCTCTCTCTCTCTCTCTCTCTCTCTCTCTCGCTAAAGACCGTCGCGCACGGCACGACGACTCGACCGCCCCAGAGAGAATCTCTCAAACCCGTTGTTTATTCGTCAACCCTGATCATGTGTTGCTTACGACTCGTTGCCAAGAGAATCAGCTGTACGTACAGAGCGCTAGAAGCGCGCGCATCAAGACACGGGCATAACAGTATATACCTGATAAAACATATAAATATAGGATAAAATTGTTTAAATTACGTTGAAGGTTACATATGGTCAATAAAAATGTATTCTGGACGAGACACTAGCGGAGTCAAGCAAACCGGACTAGTCGAATACGTCTATTGCGGACTTGCACAAAAATTATTGAAAGAAGGACGTACTTTGTATGCAGACAATTTTTATACAAGCTAGGAATTGACGGTAAGGTTTTTAAGTTTGAAAAACTCGTGCTGTTGGGACTGTGCGCAATAACAAGAAATCTCTTCAAAATAATGTTATGTCCTGCCCATTGAAAAGAAGTCTAATAATATCGCAAAAAGATAACAACGGGATTGTCATCTTGAAGTGGAGAGATGTACGTGCAATGAGATGAGATGAGGGACATAAAAACGCTTTCTACAAAGCATGCGCCCATTCTGGTACCAAACTCCAGTTCATTTATTCGTCAAGAAAATTTTCCAAAAATTAAGCTAATAGCCGTATTTGATTACAATAATAGGAAGTGTGGCATTGACAGGAGCGACCAGATGGTTTCGTACGTATTGCGAAAGAAACATTGCAACAACATTGCGAAAAAGCTTCAAGTGGTACTGGAAGTTGGCACTCCATTTGTTTATTGGAACATTCATCGTGAATTCACTCATCGTATTCCAGGCAAAGTCAAATAAAGAAATCAAAATTTCCGAATTTAGGGAGATTTTGATGAAAGAATGGTTAGATTTCCAACATAGTGAATCTAATAACAATAAGCAAAAAGATAAAGGAAGAATCACTCTAAATATAAAAATTCGAAAAGATCCTCAGAACAAAACACTAAGAAGAATATGCGTTCTTTGTTATCAGAAAAGCAGGCAAATTTTGCAATAACAAGAAGCTAGGAAAATGTGAAAAAACAGGAACATATTGCTCTAGTTGTACTAATACACCGCAACTTTTTATAGATTGTTTTGGAGAATATCACTGAAAAATAAATTAATGTAAGAATATTTTCGTTTGCATGAGGGTATTTGTGGAAAGGGTTTGCGAAAGCCTGTTAAAAAAT